CGGTTATAAAATTAGCGGACAAACCGACAGACAGACCGACGGAAATGAGTAACATGGTTTTCCGTGATGTCACATAATACCAAAAAACAGAATATCTCAATTTAGAAATTTTTCGCGATTACAGTACTTTCTCGCTAGTTTTGGTGTAGGAAATTTCTTCAACGTATTTTATTCCTCACAACTTGATAGCTGATTTCACTGGGCCATGTTTCCCTTCCGCAGTAATATCTTATGTCTTAAAAAAGGGCAATAGGGGATCAGTCGATTGCCTGAAGTCACGAAAAATTTGTTACGTCGAATCTCCAACCCGAATATCTGGATTACGAAGAAAAAATTGAGGTCACGACCTACCTATTCTCCTTGCAATTTCAAATTTAAACTTTTTTATTCCCCGTAGAATTACCGAACTGGGGTTTCTTTGAAGGGAACGCGTGATTGCATTTACATGTTTTCTGGGATAAGCAGAATGTTTGGTTATTTTAAAAGACTTTTGAGAGTAGCAGGAAATTTTATTCCCAGTGTAATAGGGAAGCATTTTTGAATCATAAGAACAATACACAGGAGAGAGAAGAACTTGATAGCTGATTTCACTGGGCCATGTTTCTCTTCCGCAGAAATATCTTATGTGTTAAAGAAAGGGCAATAGGGGATCATTCGATTGGCTGAAGTCACGAAAAATTTGTTACGTCGAGTCTCCAACCCGAATATCCGGATTACGAAGAAAAAATTGAGGTCACGACCTACCTATTCTCCTTCCAATTTCAAATTTAAACTTTTTTATTCCCCGTAGAATTACCGAATTAGGTTTTCTTTGGAGCGAACGCATGATTGCATTTACATGTTTTCTGGGATAAGCAGAATGTTTGGTTATTTTAAAAGACTTTTGAGAGTAGCAGGAAATTTTATTCCCAGTGTAATAGGGAAGCGTTTTTGAATCATAAGAACAATACACAGGAGAGAGAAGAACTTGATAGCTGATTTCACTGGGCCATGTTTCTCTTCCGCAGAAATATCTTATGTGTTAAAGAAAGGGCAATAGGGGATCATTCGATTGGCTGAAGTCACGAAAAATTTGTTACGTCGAGTCTCCAACCCGAATATCCGGATTACGAAGAAAAAATTGAGGTCACGACCTACCTATTCTCCTTCCAATTTCAAATTTAAACTTTTTTATTCCCCGTAGAATTACCGAATTAGGTTTTCTTTGGAGCGAACGCATGATTGCATTTACATGTTTTCTGGGATAAGCAGAATGTTTGGTTATTTTAAAAGACTTTTGAGAGTAGCAGGAAATTTTATTCCCAGTGTAATAGGGAAGCGTTTTTGAATCATAAGAACAATACATAGAAGGGAGAAGAACTAACTGCGGGCGATGTTCGAACTTTGGTCTATACTGTTATAGCCGTGAAGGCAGAGCCTAAATGTCGAGACGCCGCAACTGTGGTAAAGAGGTTTAAGGTTGGTCAGGCTTATTAAGCTTTTCGAGCTCTTACAGAACTGAATAAAAAATTAAAATTCTATTCTTCTTCCAAAAAATCCCCCAGAACAATATCCCAGAAAAGTTCCCCAATTTAGACAAAAATCTTGGAGAAAATCCTCCAATGTGGCAACCCCCGCTATCTTCACGAAGAATAATGTACTTGGTTAAACATAATACATTCACCATGTTTTGAATGATGTTATTTTAAACATGGTACATTCACCATAATGTAAAATTAAAGTATTCATAACTTAAGACGTTTATGCTGTATTTGGATATTCACATGCCATTTTCAACGGCACAGCCATGTAACCAAGTGATATTGCAACAACAATCCGAGAAGTAGGAACGCTAGCGCCCAAAAACGGTAGTCGACACGGTAGTTGTAAGCATAAGTGGTTGGCACATACAGGGTGAAGTCGTGACCAAAAATGAAGCATCATACACAAGACCGCATTTTAAGGGGGAACTTCTATATATTATTTTATTAAAAGATACGGGGTGTTGAAGTTTAAAAATAAAAAAAACTTTTTTTCAATATTTTCAAAACCGTCATCTGGAATGAACTAAAATTTGGTATTTGGATTAACCTAAGTAGTGTCCACATTCAAAAATCCTTACTTAAAATTAACGTGCATCACTCGCGGAGATAAAGAGGATTAGTGACATTATTTTTCCAAATAAAAATAGTACGCCACTGTTTTTTTCGAAACGCGCAATTTTTTTAATCTTACCTTTAAGTTGCTACAAATAATTAATCTTGTGTTTTTTCCTAGAGTGCATCGTTTTCGTAAAAATATCCAGTCGACGGTTTTGAAGATATTAAAAAAGACTGTTTTTTTTATTTTTAAAGTTCAACACAAAAATGTTACATAGAAAACCCCCCTCAAAATGCTGTTCTGTGTATGATTTTCTATTTTTGGTGACGACTTCTGAATCACCCTGTATAAGTCAGTTTCGAACAGGCAAGGCCTAAAGGCAGCTCCGACGCAGCGAGTTTCAAGCCATTTACAAGGGTTCAGCTGCTTCGAAACTGACATTCCATTTTTCAATATTTTTGAATGAAATTCATAAAGTATGTTCAGAAGATAATTCCCCAGGGTGCTATAGGAGTACTTTTTGAAAATTTGTTTTTGCACAAGTTTTACGATGGGTTGAAATGCGCACTTTTTCTGTTCAACTACGCGATTTTTTTAAAAAGAATCTAGTTAAAAAAATGATAAAGTGGCTCTATAGCACCCTGTGGGGTTTTGTTTTCAGCATACTATGAAAATTTCATTCAAAAATATCGAAACATAAAGCGTCAATTTCGAAGCGCGCAAACCTCTACAAATCGTATTTTGGACGATTTTTGTCTACTATTTCGTGCTGCCAACCCAAGCGTTGCGGCGCAATGTACGGACTAAGAAAGGACGTATTCAGATAATTTGGTGGCCCTATTTCATATAATATCGCATACATAAGTTGTTCTGCAAATAGGTACTCATAATCGCGATCGCTAATGCTCCTCGATTTTAAAGCCGTTTTACTTCCCACGCCAGTGGCGAGGAAGTATTGTAATCGCGAAACATTTTTAAAATGAGATGTTATGTTTTTTTAAGTTATATGACATCTACATCACGAACAACTTTATCACCCATCATCAACTTGGAAATTACCGCTCGGATTTTTATGAAATTTCCACACGGGGTTACTAGTATGCCAAAGCTTTGTATGCAAAAAAGAAAAAATAACAATTGCTGAAACTCCGTTTTTGACGTTACAGGGGTTCCTTATCATTGACATAAAAAAATTGTACCACTTAAAAACTGGGGGATGGGGGAAGGTGATTTTAAATGTGGCATCTTTGATATCAGTGAAACACGTTCTATTATTAATAAGCTTCTGGTCCCAGTGACTACAGGAAATTTAAGTAACGAAAATCCGACGAATAATGTGCTCACGATTTAAAAAAATCGGTACCTGCCTATAGGTTTGACACCAAGAGCCAACAGATCTATCTGCAACTGCCGACAGTAGGGAAGAATCAATTCGGATATCACTCCAGTCAAGGATAGGGGAATTTAGCGTGGAACTTAAAATTATCGATATGTCAAGGAATATGTTTTTGAGAACGATAATTTAGTAGATTTTATACCTGCATTTTCATTTGAAATTCATGACACATAAAATGTACCCATTTCGCCGTTACCTTCAATTTGTGTTCTGCAGTTTGTGATGTTTTTCTGGATATAAGCAGGACATAATTGCCTAAGGTGCTACCAGAGCTTTTTACAAAATTTTGTCTTTGTGCAAGAATTATGGTGGGTCGAATTGCTTACTATTTGTGCTCAACTTCTTGATATTTTAAAAAGATCCTAGTGAATAAAATCGAAAAAGTGGATCGTTAACACCCTGTGGACTTTGTTGTTAGCACGCTGCAATAGTTTCATCTGGAAATAATAAAAAATGAAAAATGAAACGTAAGCTGTGAAGTGCAAATCGGTTTTTGGGCGAAATTCGTCTACTGTTTCGTTCTACCAGTCTAAGCGACGCGACGCACAGTGTGTTCCTTTATAGGGATCAGGGACAAAATTCGATATCTTAAAAACTAGTGGTCCTATTTGAATTCTGTAAACGAAGGGCGATTACTTATTTAAGTAGCTTTCTAAAGTATGACAAAAATTATTTAAAATAATAAGAAGGGGTGGGGGAGCAGGCGGGATGCATTTCGCATAAATCGTTTTTTTTTGTAAAAGTCAAAATATTAAGTTGATGATCTCGAATAAATTGGGATCAGGTAGGATATTATTATAGCATTCTTAAGAGAGACAAAAAAGTCACGCTTTTATTTTTCAAGATCTTTACCAAATGATTTAAAAGATAATGTAGCCAACTTGTGGCGGGCGCAATATTTGAAAAAATAATAAGAATAATTCAAATAAAAAATAAATCTGTCTAATTTGAAATTGATATTTAGGTTTTTATTTAAAAAAATATATTTAACAAAATAACAATCACTTAGTAGGTAATGTATGAAATAACAATATAAACTATATTAAAAAAAATAACACCAAATATACCCATTCTAATCGGAATAGGATTTCTTGCTCGGTGCTGTGTCATTCGTTATTGTACCTAAGTCAATACCTAAATCATCATTTTCTTGCTTTTTTAAATAGTTCTGAACTGCCTCGTTGCATTTCTCATATTTTTTTGAGCTCACCTTTCTTTTTGAGGATATAAAAGTATCAGAAGTAAGTAAAAGAACACGCATGAGATCCTTATTCGTATCTGTTCTTGAACATTTTCTGGTGTGAGATAATCGATGTTTCCTAACCTCTTTATGGCGAGCCTCAAGCGCATCCTCCGAGAGCTCTCCAATGGGCAAACAAAATGCATCAATTATCTCACACCCATGAACAAGGACCTTATGTACAGTGATTGGCATGTTGTACCTCTTATAAAGGTGGATATACAAATTTCTTGCTTCTTCCAGCAATGACGCAAACTTTTCCATATCAATAGCGCAACCACTAGCTCACACTCCTAAGATGATCGCAAATTTCTCGATTAATTCCCTGTCAACCCCTGTGATATCTGAACTTGTTTGTGGATTGTGGAAAAAAATTCTGGCCGTATTGCCATCATTTGAGGAGCCATACCCGGGTTTTGGTTTGTCAACTATTAGAGACAGCTTGGCTCTGAACTCTGCTTGGATTCGTTTTTTGTTTCCTTCGACTATAGCATTGTTTTCAGGCCCACGAACCTGTCAAGATTTAATTGGCAGGCAGTATCCAATATGGAGTAAGCATTCAAAAAGACGAATCCAGCAGTGTAAAGTTGACAAACCAAACCGGTAATTGTCTACGTTAGGAGGACGGTTAATCCCTGCTAACGTGTTCATGTCCTTGGGTGTGTCTCCGCAAATGATGCACTTCATAGTTAAATTTGTCTCTGATAGAACGTTTCCAACACTGCCGTCCAACATTGTTAACATCATATCAACTTCAATTATATAAGAGTGCCCTTCTTTTGTTTTAATCTCAATAGGAATCAAATTTTCAATTTTTGTTATTATTTCCTTTTCCGTATTCCGCACGAAATCAGCATTTTCCTTTTTAAATAAAAACTTGATCGGCCTACAATATAAAGTAGATGAAGGGCTCTCATTTTTCCACAATACCTTATTCGTTTCCATATCAATCAGTCTGAGTGGCGTCATTGCTACAAGAAACAGAAATTCGTCGGTGTTCTCTAAATCAGAAAATTTCTGCTTATATTGGCTATGCCCAGAACTGCCATCAAATCCCCACTTGCATATCACTTTAATCCGGCAATCTCTCTCTTCAAAATTTATTATTTCAAGGATACTTTCAGCTGTTTTCTGTAGAAGTTCTTGCAAACCAACTTCTGCAGAAATTTCAGTAATAATAAATTGTGAAGGGAGGATAGCATTTTTTGTTTTCTGTAATTCTTTATAACTAGGAAGGCAGTTCTGGGCCTTACCATTAATAACAGACCTAAGTAGCAAATACATTTACGGATATATCCAAATCTACCATAAGGGCTAAAGCTTCAGCTGTACTAAAACTAAAAATTTGTGGCGAGACCTCACTGTGATTGCTTCCAGAAACGACATTTACAGCAAATTGAAGTTCATTTGCAGATCTGTCTGTAGTTAGTTCGGCTACACGTCTTCGTTTTGTATTCTTCGATGCCTCTTCAAATGGCACCCGTGGCCGTCCAACTGAGCGACAAGGAGGTTCTTGTTCCTCATCCCTAGATTCAGAATCATTATTTATTCTATATACCTGTATAATCTTGTTTAACCAATATACCTGATTTTGTAAAAGTCGATTCCGAGATTGTCCTACTTTTTGCCATTTATTTGCCATTTTCAACCCAAACAACTGGCTGCATTTCATAATATTACTTTTAAGATGTTTGGAAGGTTCATCTGTTATATCAATAAGAGATAATATCTTTTCATAAACCACCTGTTTTCTATTTCCTCTCGGTGCTTCTATCCACACATCAATTAAATCTCTATTTCTGACAATAGCACCATGTCCTAAAAAAAATTATATCTCCCTTAGACGTGGCATGACGTGATTTAAACTTTTTATCAAAACTTACTATGGACAGACAAATAATAAATAAAAAAATTTTTAGGGTGATGGGAGGTGATTTTTGTAAAACTCTAAGCAAAGTCAAAAGTTTAAAAAAAATTAAAAAAATCGGTAATAGTCACTTTAACTTAAAAAATTATCTAATTATAATTATATTTTAATTAAATCTATACATCAAAATAATGTACTTACCACCCTCATTACCAGCCATATTGGAAAAGTTAAAATATTTAAATATTTCGACACAAAATTTATATCTTTCCCGAGCAATAAAACAAAGAGATTTTTCGCCTTCTTGACAGGTCTCGACATGTCTAACTTTAAAGTTGCTAAAATAGGTAAATCGCAGCCAACTTGATTAAAGTACTATACTTACGGGTTGCAGTGACTATTTATCTATCCAATGGTATAATAAAAGCAACAGAATTCTAATGTCAAAAATTATGTTTTTGAGTAATTTTGTCCATTGGGCGCCACACTGTGCGACGGTGCGTTCCGACTAAGAAAAAATGTATTCAAATAATTTGATATCTTTAGTAAAATAAATTCAAGAACTCCAATTCAAATTCGTTTATTCATGTCAATAAGCACAATTATTTTTACAAGGATCATGTGGTACATGGTAACAATTGAACGAGGGTCATAAAAATATCTTATGCCGTCAAAATAAGAAAAAACAGTTAGGTAGTATTTGCCAAGCAATAAACAGGTAGGCTCATACCTGGATTAAGTACATTTCTTGTCCACTGTAATACGTAGGTGGAGGCGATGCTGCAGAAATGGATGTGTGCGATCAATAAACAAACCACAAGATTGAACTTTCGGTGTCCAATGATTTTGTATGCCTTTTTTATTGCCTTACTAGAAAACTCTGTTGGGTATATGGTGGAGTTTACTAGGACTTTACAGCTTGTTGTCTGCCTTCTTCTACAAAATTCACCAAATCGAGACGCTGTCAACCTTATCCTCCGATGAAGGCGCCACAAAGTACAGTCCTGTGATGTGGTGACTTGTTCGTTCTGCAAAATCTCGTTGTCACTTTTTTCAAGTTTCTCTAAAAATTTTTGCTTAGCAACCTCCAAATCAATGTCGTTCATCTCAGGTTTTTGACAGAATTCGCCATGAAACTATTCATTTTCTTTGGAATTGCTATCCGAATTGTTAGTTATTTTTATATCAGCTTCTTTTGCCCTGAGTTTCTTTTCAAGATTCTTGCGTTTGAGTCTTCGTTCCATCTAAGCGATAAGCGAGGTTGGACTAAGCTTAGAACGCAAATGTATTTAGACTACATGACAGACCGTTGGGTATTGTGGCTCACTATAGCTGCAGCACATCTTCCGTGATATGACCTCTTCTTGCAAAAATTTATTTGCTTACTCCCCAATGTCTTTTGCGATTATAGAGTTAAACTGCCCCACACTATTGTTGACGTCATCATGAATTAAATTCACTGCATTCGTAATTAAAATGGTCGCATATGACCTTTTATTGTCCATTATCAACCTTGATAAAAAAAGGCACTCAAGAACAATCACAGCAACAAGAGTACAGTACAACAATTTAACAACACAATATCGACGAACAGTAACAAGGGGAGAAAAATAATAAATGATCACTTGCTGAGTAGCAAAATAGGAAAGGATTTACAGGCTAGATCGCTAATCGAAATCCGACTCTGTTATTATGAAAATTTACCTTGGTATGCACAAGCAGTCATCCTTTCCTCTTTTAGAGCAGCGCCGACGACCGTCTAGGTCCAGCCCACCCTCGTTTCCTTTTCATCCCCCCGTTACCTCAGCAGATGGTGCTCGTGATTGTAGGAGTCCCGTTAAGTTGAATTGGGTATTTTCTGGTGAAGTATGCTACTCAATGGTTAAACATTATTGTTGTGTGCTCTTAGTAAGTGCGCAGAATACAATGTTCATCAGGGATTCAATCTAAGATAACAACTTCTCACTAATCTGTTGCGTGCATAGTGTTTTTTGCCTACGACCTCAAAGAATTTTTTACATAAGGTATTCCTAAATCTATTGATTCAAGATTAGCAATCAGAAATTCTTTCTTGTTTTATCAAGTTTATCTTTTTCCAGGCAATAAGGCTGACTGTGGCTCAGAAAGAGCAGTAAGGAGGGAAGAGGGAGAACGACTAGCGAGAGAATACAACGTGGCCTTTATGGAAACTTCCGCGAAAAGCGGACAAAATGTTGAATTGGCTTTCATGGCTGTGGCTAGGTAAGGACATTTTTATTTCCTGAAATCGTTCATACAATCCATAAATGGTATTTCTTGGGAAAATCTTTAACATCTGTTACATTATCTGTGTATATTGAAAATTCCGAAAAAGATGCTGTCACGACAGACTTTTGCCATGTTTCCCGGACTTGTCCGTTGGCCTGTTTGTCACCGCAGGATTTCCGTAATCGTTAGATCGATGCATTTCCGTAAGATAATATTTTTTTCCGTATCATGTATTGAAAAAAGTGTAACCCAAGGTTTATGGATGTACTTTTTTCCAAGATATATGTTCTTTTGACAGAATGCAAAGGGGCTTTGGGCTTTAGATGTGGTTTTAGCAGCCCTTTTGCCAGTTATGGTGGACTGTGACTGAAATTGGTCCGGGCAATATTTATATTCTTACAGTACCGATGTCGTTGTAAATTTGCAGCAACTAAGGCCCGTATCGTCAGTCGTCCCTACAATTGTAGGGCGCGTTTATGGCCTCCTTGATTGTCATACACCTTTCTCTCCTTCAAAAATTTCTAGATTACACTTATCTCGTGTCAGCGTCAGCGCTCTCCTATTGTGAAGATATGTTTTCTTTTTAAATTGTAGGAAATTTCTGGCTGATAAAACATGATATAACTCAAAAGCAAGCACAATTTGATGCAAATAGATGTTTGTGACATAACCTCAAAATAGAGCGCTGATACGGAGAAGTAGAAAACTATGACAATCAAGGAGGCCATAAAGACGCCCTACAATTGTAGGGACGACATGCGGGCCTAAGAGTCCGTATACTTGTTCCAGAATATCGATTTTAAACATTCTTTTACGAGTAAAAGGTTGTAACTTGTCGCCTTGTCTTTGTGTTTAGTGAAAAACTGCTAGTATCTGAGTTATGATATTGACTTTTAGGGAACTCAAATATCGTCAGAGCGGCCAAAAGGACGAAAACAAGTTTAGCGTGCAAGACTACGTGAGGGAGAAGCAAAATGGAAAACCTGCACAATCTTTCACCCAACAGCAACAATGCCCCCAATGTAGCACAAACTAGATAAAGCCTAAAAATATAGCCTGTGTAGATATTATGTGCACAAAAATGTCGCTTTAAAAACGTAGGGCGGAAGGTGTATTATAAAGTAACAAAGTAGTGAGTAGCTACGTTGGGTTAGCTTCAAGGAAAAAAAGATCGTTAGGTATTTAAAACTTCGGAATAATGAACGAAATGCTCCCAGTTATACAAGATGTAAATAGAATTTCCATTGCAGAGCGACGACTCCTTAATCGGCAAGGAATTTAAGAGAGAGGTAATGTCAATATACCTTATTTTTATTGTTCAAGGTTCTTTATTCCTTAGCGCCGTTTGTATGATGGTATTGAACAGATACAGAGGGAGAGTACCTACAGTGGACCCCCGATAATTCGGCCCCTGTCTAATCCGGCGCCCCCTGTAATCCGTCATGTCTTTGAATATGTATTACATACATACGCATTTGACAATCTTCGCTAATGTAGATCACGCAGGTTTGAACAGGTTACAACTTGTACGCGCCACCGCTATCGTGCTCGACGCGTAAGCATTGTTTTACTTAGTTTGAATTTGACTACTGGTGATAGCGGTATGGCCTAGCGTGCGTTCATTGTTTACTATTTATTCATTGTGTATTAAGTATAGTACCTAGTAATGTCATCACAAACTCAGATGCGAAAGCACAAAACATTGACAATTAAAGAAAAATGTGATATTTTAGACCGCTCAAATCGCAATGAAACTTTCAGTGTTTAGCAAGTGAATACGGCGTAGGCCGATCTACAATTTATGACTTTAAAGAAACCACGAGAATATCAAGAAGTTCGTGTCAACTACTGACTGCGGGTCAGGCAAGAGACAGACACTCAAGAAAGCTGAACATCCAGAAGTGGAAGAAGCTTTGTACATGTGGTTTCTTCAGGAAAGAAATAGGCACGCACCAATTTCAGGACCCATGTGGGCCATGAAAGCTAAGTTTTTTTATAAGGAAATAACAAAAGAAGATGATTTTGTGGCCAGCAAAGGATGGCTAAAACGTTTAATGACTATTACAGGAGAGAAACTTTCTAACGATGCCACCTGCATAGAGCCATTTAAATTAAGAGTTATGCAAAAGGTGAACGATTTAAATCTTGACCTGTCACAGGTGTACAATGCAAATGAATCAGGGCTTTTTTGGCGTGTGATGCCTAGCAAAAGTTTCGTTTCTTGTAACGAAAAATCCGTACCTGGACGAAAAGTAAGTAAAGAGCGTGTAACCATACTACCACGTGCTAACGCTGCGGGCACACACGCGCTTAAGATGATGGTCATTGGGAAATAAACCACGGGCACTCAAAAACATTTTTTTTAGCTGTACGGACAAAAAAGTGCATGGATGACAAAAGGCCTTTTCAAAAAGTGGTTTGATGAATGCTTCGTACCTGAAGTTAGAAACTGCTTAAAAGATCGTAATTTTCCTCAAAAACCGTTGTTGCTTCTTGATAACGCTCCCGGTCATCCGTCTGAAGAAGAACTAACAACTGAGGATAAATGCATCACTGCGATGTTTCTTCCGCCAAATTGCACTGCACTGATTCAACCAATGGACCAGAATATCATTCAGTTTGTCAAGCAAGACTATAAGAAAAACCTACTTCTGAGAGCCGTATCAAAAGACCAACCAATAGAAAAAACTTTCAAAGAATTTAATATGAAAGACTTGGTTTTTGCTCTTTGTCAGTCGTGGAATGCGTCACCGTCAACAACTATTAAATCGTCTTGGAAAAAGTTATGGCCAGATATAGTCACCACTCCTAGCAACGTTCCACAAATCAGTGTTACTTCGGAAGTTATAGAACAAGTCGCTACTGAAATACAGATAAATTCGGAAGATTTGGAAATCAGGTGCCGTGGAATTGATAAAGAGGAAAATGTTTTTCATGAAATGTCTGATGAAGAGATTATAAAAGAGGTTTCTAATTATGCAACAAACAGTCAGGAAAATAACGACGACGTGATTGCAACTGCTCCAAAAGTCACAGCACAAAACGCAATTAACGCCTTTGAGTTAGGTTTACAATGGGCTGAAGAGGATGGTACATCCTACAACGAACTTTTACTTTTGAGAAGACTGAGGGACAAAGCTCTGATCTCGCGTTATAACAACCTTAAACAAAAAAAAATGATGAATATTTCCAAGCTTCATAATTTGATAAATTCCTTAATGATTTTGATTAATAATTCTAGATTATTTTGGTACGTATATATGTGCATTTATGCTTAATTTTATAATAAAACGTAAGCTCTCTATCGTTATTTAATTTACTAAGTTCGACATACATAAACTATGTATGATTTGTACTTCAAAGTACATACATATACATAACATATATAAACTTACTAATGGATATGTAATTTGTCGGATTACAAGGTATTCTTTTGTAAAAAATTCCGGACTATAGGGGGTCTTAGGCAGTGCTCTATAATCCGACAAATTCGATAGTCCGACACTGCCCTACATAATGTTTGTCGGATTACCGGTGGTCCACTGTATTCTGATATTAAAAGGCAATCAAGGTTGGTACCACTGAAACCGATAATCGTAAATGATAGATTCGGATTTTTTTAATAGTCCCAGAAATCGAATATTCCAAAAATAAGAATTTTTGACGTTACTTCCACCTTAAAATGCATGCTATGCATAGGATAAGTAACCTTACAAATTTTCAGATACAATAAATGTGTATATTACAGTGTATATTTTAGTGCAGTACAATAATCATTAAAAACACCAAAGTGCATAAAGATAATATTATACCTATGTATTGTGCTTTGTAAACGTATGATGAAGGAAACGATGTGTCAAATTTAATGTTAACGTATTCTACCTACAGATAGCCAACCATGCGCGGTTAAGCTGGGTAATTTATACCATTGATATATTTTATGAAACATCTCTAGAGTTACTTGTCTAAATTGAATGATAATTCAGAGTAAGATTATCTATCTTATCAAAAGGCACACCAAACAGCTTATACAGGGTGACTTTGAAGTTAAGTCATTAATTTTAAGATAATAATTGTAGAAGGAAGATAAACCAAAATATGTGTGTAAAAATAAAAAAATATTAAAAAAATGTTACCTTGTTTTATCAAGTATCCTCCCGGCAAGTATTTCAGTGCGGACCTGTGCGCCCAAAAGCATGTCACAAAAACTGTTCGAAATGATTTCCGTTTTGCTCGACGCAGAGCTGGGCTTGTTGCCAAACACGAGCACATAATATTATTATTGAGACAGGGTGGTACTCAAACTTTGTTACTTTAATTTGACCAGAAAAATGTTATAGGAAAAAACATTTCTTTTGATCAGATCTACTAACTGTTAAAATAAATGACTCAACTTCGAAGTCACCCTGTATAAATACTAAGATCTTAGAATCCCAGACATTCTGTGTTTTAGGAAGCAGTTACCATGCGCACTTGAATAGTAGAACGACTTTTGGCATGGGTCATTCTCCACACATGCCTAGAGTTTTTGGCCTACAGAGAAGATGTGTTAGATATATGTCAAACACAAGGGATCCTTGCAGGAATGAATTCATTAAATTGAATATCATAACATTGCCTTGTGTATATATCTATGCTTGCTTCATGCATGTTAAAACTCACACTCACAGTTACGCAGCTCATCAAGATACAAAGCTACTCATAATTACAACACCAGAAACAAATGACATTTGTGTCCAAATCTTCATCGCCTTTCCATAACTAGAAATGGTGTCAACTACCACGGGTTAAAATTCTACAACCTATTTTAAAAAGCTTTTTTCGACGTAGATGACTTCCATAAATTCAAATTTTTCAGCCTGGAATAATTTTTATTGTAATTAGTCTCTTTTATAATTTTTTACCAACACAACATAGTAACATCGATATTTCAACACATATATGTTATTCTCAGCAGTATATCCAATATTGAATCAGTTTCAGTTTGGTACACCTTGTGCTTCAAATAGCCCCATCAAAAAAAGTCTAAAGGTTTCAAATCTGGCGAGCGAGCTGGCCATTCCGCAGCACCTCGACGGCCAATCCAACGACCGGGGAAATTGTTATCTAAATAATTCCTAACTTGTCTGTACTAGTGTGGTGGAGCACCATCTTGCTGGAATACATTATCAGTATCGAATTCATTAGGATTCGCTTCGACGATTTCGGTGATTAGAGGGTCAATAGTATTTTACAGCATATCCAAATACAGTTCCCCGGTTTGTTCGATGAATAGAGGCCCCACAATATGATTTCCCAATATCCCAGCCCAAACGTTAATTTTTTGTGGATATTGAGTATGAGTTGCCCGGAAGACGTGAGGATTGGTGTCACTCCAATAACGACAATTTTGTCTATGCACATTGTCGTTGAGAAAAAATGTACATTCATCACTAAAACAAATATTTTGGATATAGGTAGGATGCCGTGCAATGGTTTCCGTCATAGTCTCGCAGAATTCTGTTCTTCGATCAGGGTCATCTTCAGTTAGCTGATGTACCATTTGAATTTTGTATACTTTTTCTAAACTCTCCATACTGTAGAAGAACAACAAACCTCACATACATTCGCGATGGAGGAAGTAGACTGTTGAGGATTTACTATGATCTCACCAATTATTTGAACTTGCCTTTCTTCCGGGATGGCCGGATGACCTGGGGGCTTTTTGTCGTTTACACTACCAGTAGCTGTAAATTTAGATACAAGTTCCCTTAAATATTTCCTACAGATAGCACGATTCGGGAAACGATCATTAAAAATCCTTTCGGTCTCGTGAAAGCTACGCGTCGCACCATAAATAAAAATCGCTTCAATTTTCTCTTCCAATGGACGAGAATTGACCATTTTAAAAGTAGTTCAAACACTATCTAGCACTAAAACCGAAAACTAAATAAGATCATTTTAACTGTACAATGGTGTTTGTTTTCGTACTGATATTATTGTCACTGTCAACAAAACAGGTTTTTATCGCTGTTGCTGTGGATACGGCAGGGACTTACAATTATTTGTAGAGGTAACGCGGAGGTACCACCCGGCGGTTCTCGTAGGCGGAGCCAGAATGTGTGCATGTTGCATGCACACGTGTTCCCTCGCCAGAGTCCGTGTGGCGTCCCCCCTTTCCCATGTATCCCCCATAGCCCCACGGTACCCAATGGGTGCTTAGGCCTTAGGCCTTCGTGGTAGTTGGAGTATAAAAAAAAAAAATTAAAAAAAAGGTATGCATGTTAGTCGGTTTGTGTTCAAGTAATTATTAAATGTACCACGATTTTGTAGTAGGTGTTGACTTTATATTCTAGGGTTATAAAGTACTCGCCAGGAGCTTCAAAATGATGTGCCACAAGACCACAAGACCCCGTTTTCATATGATATTTTTTTACAAGATGGCGCTCAGCGGCCATCTTGA